TCTTGAATTCATTGCATCCTCTCAGTAAAATATTGAAATAATGATTAAAATAATTTAACTTCCAAAATATCCAGAACATTATTACACAAAAGCTGATATATAGAAGATATTGAATGAGTGTTCAATTGTTCAATACTGAATTTAAAAACTGGCCGAGCAAATTATTATTACATTCAACGAATTGAATCAATGCAGTAACGAACCTACATAAATTATAAATATTCTATTGTATCATCACATGCACAAAAGTAAAGCCCTGTTTAAAAAAAAAAAAAATAATAATTCTCCATTGATGCGCCTTTATTTGTAACTCTAACATTTATGGCGTCTTTATGTTTGTATAACGTAAATGACATCAGATCTTAATATATGCACAGTCTTACAATACCATTTTTATGAAGTCACAACATTGGCACTAGTAAATATATTATAAAATTGCATACATCACAGTCTTTCAAAAATCTTGATAATGTTATAGATTTACTTTTAACATGAATATTTTCAACATGAACATTATGATTCATGATTTGATGACATCAGGAAGTTACCGATCCAGTTCTGGTTGTTCATAATGGACGAAAACTTTTCATTTCACAATAAATTTTAAATGACCTCATCATGTCAAAAGCATACAATGATTAAACAGTCACAGAGTCACAGGAATAAACATAAATTATTGTTTACTTCACATGTTAGATTAAATTATACTAGTTTCAACGGGTGTGTGTATTATACTCATTAGCATAAGCTTTTATTACTAAAACTCCATGGCTATGCCACTAATAAAAATGTTGCATCTGACCGTTCACTTTTATGAAATATATTTTTGATTTTGCATGCAAAATCCAAGATCATTCCCTTGTATTTCTTTATTTTATTTATCTAAAGATTCATGTACATTTAAGTTATTAACATGTTTCACTATGTACAATATTATAACCATCATCTGTGACTTTTATGCCAGTTTGAGGTTCTTCTGTTATTGGCATTCCAGGAATTACATATTGATTAAATGTAGCAGCAGTCTTTATTTCTTTAGCTGCAATCTGTGTTATCTGTGGCATCTGTGAAAAACCTCAAACTGCAATAAATAATATTGATATTGTTACTATAAAATGACAAAAGATGTACCCATATAGGCTAGCATATTGTAATGGTTGAAAACTGTTACCCTGTCTGCACAATTACTTTATGCATTAGAAAATAAAATTATACGATTACATACTGCTACTCTCCAGAAATTTGGCATGAAATTGGAATAATGATTATTTCAATACTATACACAGTTAAGAAAATGTGACATATGACTTTTATCTCTTTTCTATATTCAAAATCTGGTTTTAGGAAAAGCAAATGTCAACTCACTTAGATCTGTAGTTTCCAAATCAAATGTTATAAATGTAGGATTTTCTGTATTTACTTGGCTTGAACTTTCCTTAGGAACTGCATCTGGTAAGGTCTGTATATCTGGGTCTGCTGTGTTTGACCAATACCTAAAATTGTCACACCATATTTTATCATAGATAGCTTTTATACAAAGTGCTTGGAAGTGAAAGGAAAAAACTTGCAAAATAATTAAAGGTTCTGAAGGGTTTTAAGATCCTTATGCCATGACTTAAAACATCTAGCACCTTGTATCTTACAGTTATTACCATACAAAATAAAGTATAGCATATGTATTACTTAGGCTTATTAAAATGATCACAATGAGAGACTTGAGATGTCTTATTTTATTTTTTCTGCAGAAAAAAGTGCTTCTGAATCTAGTGATGCATGCAAAAAAATGATAAACACACCCTTCAAAACATAAAAACAAGAGCTGTACAGAAAGTGACAAATGCCCGAAGGATTCTATTTATAAACCACCTATAAACATGTTAATTGTGGTGGTAAAAATTGACAAAGTTCGAAACCCCAGCAGTGACCTTTAAGACAAAGAAGCCTTGGTCTTGTTCACAACACATTGTTCATCTATGGTGATTTTATTTTTTTAAATAAAAATTGAAACTTTAATGTATATGAGAAGTTACAGAGCGGGACACTGTATATAACATAAATATTGAAAACGTTTAAACCTCAGCAGTCCCTGTGGGTGGAAATTGTTTAACATGAATGATGGAACATGTATTGTAAATGACTTTAAATATATTTTATACACTTAAAGCGTTTAACTCAGAAGTGGTAAATTAATTTTTCGTATTAATGAGTAAAAACAATTTTGAACATAGTCTTCAATGGCTTGTTATTTAAATGGCATAAATTTTTTTTTAGATACTTAATTCTCAATTAAAGACATGTATAAATGTTTTGTGGTAACAAGTTAATTACATACTCCATTTCTTTATTTGTAAGCCTCTTCAGCAGTCCGTCTCTGTGATTCTGCTCAGACAGCCTAAGATCTATCACTTCACCAGCCCTTCTCTCAATTTCCTTAAGATTTTCTAGGGATCAAGAGTGGCAAGGAAATTGTAAACTTTGACAGCCACACCAATGCTGTCAATCATTGCTGTAAATATGACAGAAAAAAAGCAGTTACAATCATTGTTCAAATAAGATGGTGTATGTGCATAAACCTTAAATGATAATTTTCTAAATACTTAATTACCTTTAAACTGTTGAGTAATGCTTGAAATTTTTATTTTCTAGCACATGAATAAGATTTTATAAAGATTAAACTCACTTAGTTCACTAACATGTGCCTACTGTCATGTGTGAAGTAGAGTATTCTAAGACATTAAATCTGCATATCTCCAGTTTAGCTGACGAGAAAATTAAAATTAAAATTGATGACTAGCATATATGCACAGTTAAGGCTATCAGTACAGCATTTTTTCAATGAAAAATAAATGCAATGCTTGCACTTCTTATTAAATTTTCAGCCAGTTTATACTCACATTTCTTATGACATTTTCAGCCAGTTACTTAATTGCACTTCTTATTATCGATACATTTTCACAAATAATGAACATACATATTACTATTAAATGACTTTAATGATGATATTCGGCAATTTATATTATGGTGAGATATCGGCAGAATTAAATTTACCTATAATTAAACAGTTTTTTGTGAGCGGGTGTAAATTCTGTGATATTTTACAAGTTACAATTATTAAAATTGAGCCGTGTCACGACAAAAACCAACATAATGGGTTTGCAACCAGCATGGATCCGCGCAGTCTGATCAGGATCCATGCTGTTCGCTATCAGTTTCTCTAATTTTTATAGGGTTTGTAAGCGAACAGCATGCTGGTCTGGATCCATGCTGGTCGCAAACCCATTATGTTGGTTTTGTCGCGACACGGCTCAAATTACTTTGTCATTATCTAGTGCCTCGGGGCCTGGCTGACTAACATTCTAAAATATCTAGATTTGTTTCAAATAAAAAAATGATAGTAACGAAATCCAAGCTGTGTGTTTATTTCAAAGCTGGACATCCCCTTCGTTTTGGTGTGGATGAAACCGAATTTACAGCTCCTCACTCTTAATTCGAACACATAACGTACAGATAGCCACCCAAGCACTTTTGCAGCTCCCCCACAATGTTGTCGCTTGTGATTATAAAGGTCTCAGACGACATTCCTTGCAGTGAGCTAAATTTCTAACTAATTAAAACTTCGAACTCAATCACCCGTCTACCTTTTCTCCACCAACCTGCCGATCCATTCTGTCGCCCGGTGTTCATAAATTCGACAATTACCAATTTTGCACTTACAAATGCTCAATACGTGAGGGTAATTATGATCCACAAGAATATTAGGTTCTTTTCTCAACTTGCGTTTGTTTTTCGGCCTTGTAACGGCCTTTTCTGTCTCTTACTTTCATTTTTACTTCTGCGATCTATTTTCTGCAATCGTGACGTTATATAGGGGTTTCCCAACCTGGTTTCACAGCAACGGGGTTTTTACGAACAATACGTTTACAAACAAAATATTCTTTTTGATAATTTCATTTTCATTTTATCAAAAACTAAAATTCTATTTGTATTGGATATAAATATACGGATAATTTATTCATTTAGAAATAAAAAATAAATCTGTTTACGGAAACGGGTGAGAGGTAACGGATGTACCGATAAGTTACGTAGAATGCCGATATGGCAAGGAAAAACCCGATCCCATTACAGGGATCTTACCTTAAAGAGAAAGATAAATAACTCTGGTCAAGTTGACTAGTATACCTATGTTATCTTAAATAAATATTGACCGGTGGTGTCATCCTGACAAACAGTTTACATGAATATCTAAATAATGAGATTACATGATTATTATTATTTTAATTAATTAAAAAAATAGAAAGATCGCAATTTTGAAAAAAAAATCATAGGCAAATTTTATTACATGATCACCAAATTTGGTTCCTATAATTTTTACTGTCAAGAAAAAAAATCAGTGTTTGGAAACCTTACAACTAGAGAGGCAAGTTGAAGTTGACTTGGACTTGTCTTTCTCCAAGTTTATTTTAAAAAAAAATGTTTCTATAATCACTGAAAAACAGTTGTTACTGGTGAGCGATTCAAGGCCATCATGGCCCTCTCGTTTGAAGTTATTAATCTTGAAATAGGAAAAAATGAAATTTTCAACTTGTTCATACATACCTCAAATGGTATTTGATCAGTGGTCTTGAAAGTTTCCAAGGATGTCGGTCAGCATGCGTACTTATGCACCTTTGGGTTTGTGAATTGATTCAGTGTTTGTTTAGAGTTTTTGCTTTTGACTTAGTAAAAGATTTTTACTTATTGGGGGCACCGTTGTCCTATAAAGCAATACATTTATAGTTTTTGAACATTACATCTTCCCATAAATTTTTGTGTATTTGCTGAATTAAGAAAAAGAAAAGTAGTCCGGCAGGACGCCAATTAAAATACGAAAATTATGTATTTCTTCTCTGCAATGAAAAATACGTCTGTTTTTTTAATCAATGTTTAAAAATATTGCATCAATCAATTTAAGTATATATAATAATAAAAATTTACTTCATTTTTTGTGTTGTTTACTTAAGCTCTGAAAACTGTATGACAGCAAGAACAGCGACAGGCAATGATTGACATTGACCCTTATGCAAATGACCTTGCAGGTCAAGTTTTACAGTCCTGACACCCAATGTGAGATGATGCAAGGAAAAGGATCGTTTTTGTACAGGGTAAGGATACTCTGATGTCATTTGATAATATGTCAACAGTAACAAGATTATATCATTCCCATTTTGTTAATATATTGTTAAACAAAATTTTCGCACATTCACAGTTAATATCACCAAGTAAGATCGGGAAGGGTTCGATCTAAGGGCACTTTCTCAGCAACAAATTTACATGCAGAGCGAGAGATAGAGTGCTGGCTGACATAGGGGAATGATTCCCCTATGAACCCCTATCTTCTAAACCTCAAACGCATTGTACCTGTCCGTTTTTCGGATGATATTACTCTATCTTTTTTATTTGGGTTTATTTTCTAAAGATAGTGTTGGAAATCGTTGTTCGGAGTTACTTGATGAACACATATACGTATACATAGAAGAATATCATTCTTTTACTTTTAAATAGATAAGTAATACTGTCATTAATGCAGTTCATTCTCCGAAATAAGTATGAATGTTCTTATATGGTCTAATACTGTTCAATAAAATGAATATACAGGGTACATTTTTCATTGCATTCCTCATACGTTAGTATGATCTTTGCCTTTGATTGTTATTTATGGAGATGAAAATGTTTCATGACATACGGTTTACCCCTGTTGTGTTGAAGATGATATTATCAATGACAAAATGGAGGGTCATAATATAACGCAAATATTTGTTTTGTTTTTGTGACGATTCGTTACTTTATTTAACATTTTCCATCATACATCATATTGTTACAATGAAAATATGTAGTAAATAAACAACAAAAATAAGAAGAAAATAGTTAAAAGCTATCTAAAACTAATATTGATATTATATGTTTTAAGCCTTTAGTAACATATAATTGTCAATCAGCTATCTATTTAAACAAAATACTTATCCGTTTACCTAATGTGTAATCATTATTAACATTACTTATAACCTTTTTTAGAAAAAAAAATATTAGCGCAAAAATATAATATTTATTTAGGTAAATAAAATAATAATGATAACAAAAATAAACAAATAATAATAATAATGATGATATCAAAATGAGAAAAAATCATTCAGTTATTTTTAGTATAATATTACACTATTTACTCACTTTACTTTAGTAACTATGCTTAAAAGTCTTAAAATAAATATCAGAAAACATATCGCGCTTTAGCAATAAAACTTTTATATTTACCGGGATTTGTTTCCCAATTACCCATTAATACAGTGTAGGCCTAGAAAAATTGTTTGAAGTGACAAATGGTGGGATAACTTTTTTTTTCAAAATTTTTAACACAATGAACATTAATTAAAAATTTTACTCGTAAAAACATTTTTAAAGCAGTTAAAAAAACATTAAAGATAGGGTTTTTTACTTTTTTTTTTTTAATTTTCTAAATTAAAAATAAAAAAAGGGTTAAAAATAATAAAATAAGTTTATACAAAAAAGACTTGAAAATACGAAACAAAAAAATAAAAAGAAATAAATGCAAACAGTTTAAATAAAAAATAAATAAAATAACTTAAGTATAATGTCATTAATTTGAAGGCCACTACTAATATCTTGTTCTAAGAATAATTCTACATCATCAATAAACAACGAAAATAAAAATGGCGAAATTACCTCCCTTTGACGTAGTCCTATGCTATGCATATTCGAAAAATTCAGAAAAGGTATTACAATTTTTTTACACAAGATTTTACCTTATTATACATATCTTTTTACTATACGTAGAAGTTTACCTCTTATACTAAACTTATATAATTTCAACCATAAGGCATTTCTATAAACACAATCAAAAGGCCTTTCTACCAAAATCAACAAATACATCAATATTATAAACGTTTATTTTCATTTAAATATTTTTGTACTACAGACAACAATATTATATAAAGCATCAACATAGATTTTCCCTTCACGGAATCCAAATTGAGCATCAGATTTAATACATGAATTTTGTTACACAATAATTAATTTATTCTCTTATTGATATACTGATGTAAACAACTTTGACATACAACTAACAAGTGTTATGCCTCTATACTTATTAGCGTTTATCAGTGTCCCCCTTTTTTTATGTAACGGTATAATAATACCCTCCGTCCATTGAATCCGGGAAAAAACCGGTATCAAGTATACAATAAAAATATCACAAATATGGGACGCTCTAAAATGTCGATTGATTCAATAAAATTCTCGTTTAACAAAAAATCTTTTCCGGGAGACGTTTCCCCTTTTTAATGATTTAACAGCACCGATAATTTTCATCCACAGTAAAAGGTTTATCCAAAATTGCCTCCCCTTGCTCCAAATCGTCAAAATCGTACCCTGACACAAAGCTTTCAAGATTCAATATTTTTAGACTGTAAAATATCATCACCTAATTCTGAAAAAATATTTGAAAAAATCGTCAATAGAAATATTGTTTTAACATTATTATTACGTTTAAAATATTTCCAAAATTCTTTGGGGTTCGAGTAACGCAACATTTCAATGTCTCGGATCTTTGGAAGCTCTATTACGACTACGCTTTAACTTTACAGTCTTTTTGTAGATTTGTTTTCAATATACACAACTCTTCCCTATCATATTTGTTTTTTGTTTCATATTAAATTTACGCAAAGCGTTTAAATAAGTGTTTTTTCGCCTGAACACATTCATAATCAAACCAATCTTTATATCTTTTAATTTTTTAAATTTACGAAAATGAACATGCATCCTTTTAAAAATATTGATTTAAAAAAAAACAGTGGTTTGGCAATATCTTGTATAATTGTTCGTAAAATCAGTAACAAGATTATTTACTGACGTCTTATTTCAACATATATACAATTTGTCAGTGTACTGAAAACGGGCAATTTAGCAATTAAGTTTAGCTCTAAATTCATTCTTGCAATCATCCGACCACTTGTTATCTACAGACAAATTACATCGTGTGAAATTCGTTCAATTTTTCGTGGCAAGTTACATTTTAGGTTAAAAGAAATTGAGGCAGTGGTCACTCCACTCATTTAAATCATGTACAGTAAAATTACATATTTGCGAAAAATTACAATCCTTCGTGAGCAAATAATCGATAACAGACGCTCCCTGACTCGAGATAAAGGTAAATGCACCGTTACGATCATCGTCTGCTCGTCCATTTACAATGCGCAGACTTGTTGATTTACATAAGTCAAGCAGACGATGACCGAACACGTTACACCCACTATCACAAGAGGCCCGAGTGAGGGGAACATCTGGATCATAACCATCACAATCAATATCATAGTTTACACTGTCACAAACAATATAATCATTTCGTTTACCAACCCGGCTATTCCAGTCGCCAATCAAAAATAAATCACCAGCATTTTCAAATTCAAATATATCATTTTGTATGACGTCAAACAAGTCAACATTACATACTGTGTATGCTGGGGAATCGTCGCACCAGACATAGACACCGCATATATATACATCATTTTCAACATTAAAAAAGTTTTTAGCAAGTTTTATCCAGAGTATTGTATCATAATGACTTCGGATTATTTCAATACCATCTTTTATAGATTCTTTATATAACAAAGCAATACCACCGCTACATCTTCTTGAATTCCGATGTTTGAAACTTTCTGTAATAATTATATGAAATATAACCTTTTATATCTAAATTACTATTTATATTTGTCCATGTTTCATAAAGAAAAATTATGTCATACCTATTTAAAATGTTTATGAGATCATTATCATGTTTTTATAGTCAGAAAACCCGTTTATATTCCAAGAAAGAATTCCGAGGCTATCCCCTGTGTATTCCTATCTCCGTTGGGCTTTACCGTCTATATACAGCGTATCGTATGACAACCAAGCACGTTGTCCTTTGTTCCTAGCCTCTTTCAACTTCGGGATCAATGCTTTCCTTTTTTCCACAACTTCCTTTGGATATTGTTCATGGACAAAATATTTCGTGTTATCAAGAGACTTCCAAGACCTTCTCACCATTCACAGCGTGAATTTAGCAACTATTTTTCTGTCCCTTCCATTCATTCTATCTCCCATTCTATGTACCCTATCAAACTGTATTTCATTAGACAAATCTTTCGCTACCTTCATTTTCTCAGTTAAAAAAATTCTTAGGACATTTTCTGCATCTTCTTGCTCCCCCGGACGGGCCTCTTCAATGTTACCAAAAACAAGATTGTTTCTCATTGATTGAGACTGTACATAAACTAGGTCATCAGACAATTGCTTACTTTTACACTGTAAGTCATCCACCTTTGATGTTACCAATCCTAAATTAAAGTCCGAACTCTCTATCCTCTCTTCAATCGTGACAATTTTTTCATTTGTTTTAATGTTTTGGTCATGAATACTACTCCATAGTTTCGCAAGGTCCTTATCAAAAACTGCGCACACTTTTTTTTCCAGTATATCTAGAGTATTAAGTTTTTTTTTCCACAGATTCTAGGCGATTGTTAATTTTATTAAGTATTGTCATTAGATCTGCATTAGAGGGTGAATTTGACGCCATTTCCACAGGGGCTTGAGTTTTTTTCATCTGCTTCAGAAACAGAGTAATTATTGAGTAGATCTTCTAAATTCAATGTTGCATTAAATTCAATGTTTTCTTCATCATAAAGTACTGAGTTAGTCTCTTTCAAAACGCTTCTTACTATAACTTCTTCAGGTGTACTTGTGAAACGACCTGATTTTCGCCAACCGCCATTATTTATCGATCCATCACTGATTTTCCTTTTCTTTTTCTGAGAGTTTTTACCTTTTTTACCAGCCATTACTCACACATGCTTACTCCCAAAAGATCACAAAACACTTTAAATTTGCATTAATAAATTAATTCCATATATTATATCACAAAAAATACACTTTTTTATCCAATTTTCCTTAGCTATAAAAACACCAGTTTTTCACCAACGTCACGTGACCCCATATCTTGAAATAAATGTTGTGTTCGGTTTTGTTTGAATTAAACACATACAAGTGTAAAATACAATAAATTGGACAAACACGAGAAGGATTAACAGTCGCAAATTTTGAAAATTCAGCG